ATACAGTGAATAGACTTTTGAGATGGGGTACCATCCTTCTCAACTATAATTTTCAATTAAATTATTTACCAACTAATAAAACTGGCCAGGCAGATGGTCTATCCAGATTAATCGCTAATCAAAATCAACCACTTGAAGACTCAGTTATAGCAGCTCTTCATTCAGACTGTGAAATAAAATCAATAATAGCAAATACCATCTGGGATCTACCTGTAACATTGTCAGAAATCAAAAACAAAGTGCTAGAAGATGATTTTATTTGCGAGATAAAACGTAAAATCACAACAAAAGATAATAGCATGTCAGATGTCTACTCACTATGTGATAATGTCTTATTATACAGCGAAAGAGTTGTAATTCCATAAAAGTTACAGAAGCGAATTTTAAAAGACTTCCACATTGGACGACCCGGTAGAAACCGTATGAAAAGTCTCATGCGGAGCTATGTCTACTGGCCAGCAATGGACAAGGACATAATGGAAATGATTAACACATGCAGACGATGCGCGTTGGCGGCCAAAGCTCCATCTACCACTTTCAAACCCTGGCCAAAAATGGACCAGCCTTGGTCACATATACATACTGACTTTGCTAGACCGATTGACGATTATTATTACTTAATCGTTGTTGACAGTTACTCCAAGTGGCCGGAGGTTTTAAGATGCAAGAGGCCGACAACGGCTGTAACAATCAGTTTCCTACATGTGCTGTTTGCGAGATTTTGAGTAGTGGACTGTGTTGTCAGCAACAATGGTACACAGTTTACGTCGACAGAATTTAAAAATTTTTGCGACATCTTCCAAGTCAAGCACATTATACCTCAATACCACCCTAGATCAAATGTGCAGGCAGAGAGGTTCGTAGACACGCTGAAAAGAGCATTTAAAAAAGCTCAAGGAACTCCTACTGACATAGCATTACAGCAGTTTCTGCAAGTTTATCGCATTACGCTGAACCCAAATACACCATAAACTGGCTCACCGGCAGAAATCATGTTTGCCAGAAAGGTGAGATCCATGTTTAACAAATTAATTCCCAAAGAGTCAAAAATATGTAAGACCAAAAAAGGACTAAAAAAAACGATTTCTTCCAGGTCAGAAAATCTTTTTAAAAAGTTTTCAGAAGAATATGACATATTGGGAGGAGGGCACAATCACTAGAAGGATCGGTGAGATGGTGTACATAATACAAGGACCAAGACATACCCACAAAAGACATATTAATCAAATTAAAAAACGGCATGAAATAGATTCTAACAGGACACAGGATGAAGTGGAAGAACCCATCGAGATCATTTACGACACATTTGACCTTGAGGCCCCGCAACATATGCCTGAACAATGAAGGTCAGGGAGAAAGAGAAAATTTACTGAGCCTTTAACAATCAACCCCAAAAAGAAAAGGTATTAAATTTCTAGAAAGTAATAAACCCTTTTACCGAGTAAAAGGCTTGGGAGGGGGGTATTGTGGGGACCTACCTACAAATGGACTCTCCCATCTTTACATAATATGGCTACCAACTCTGAGTAAAGTGAGTCACCAAGTGAGGATCAGCGAGTAGTAGATACCGAGTGAGTGAATGAGTGGGTCAGGACACCAGTGAGAGAAAGTACTCTCCGGTCCACATTTACCTTTGTACTACATTTCTGAGAATATACTATTTAACCTTATATCTGAGTCCATGTTATTTTTCTGTGGTTCTACACCATAACAGTATGGTTTTAAAGGAAAGAACTTACAAGAATTACAATTTTAGCAAATGTCTATCGACCCATTTTCAACATATATGCATAATACTCAATACCAGCATACATAGTTCTGTGAAAAAGACTTGTCTGGTGTGTATTCAGAAGTATGAGTTTATGAAGTATATGCAGTTGGGGAGAATGAGTGGAGTGTCATGGGAAGGGCTGATTTGTGATAAGGCTTTGTAAGGTGATAGTGGTGATGATGAGAGAAGCCTGGAGTATGATAATGAAACTTGATTGAGTAGAATGTCTCTGTTGGATTCTGGTTAAATGTGAAATCAAAAATTGCAATAACCATCCTGTGAGGCAGTGTGAAAGATAACAAAATTGCTGATTTATAGTTATTTAGTTGCTGTTGGTAATGGAACCAATTAGGTGTTACTGATAAGGTTGGGAATTGATGGATTTGTTGGGTTGGTTGACCAAGGTCATTGTGCTGATGACAGTAAAGGCTTGGTGTGGATTAATGAAGCCATCAAGGTTTTAGCAATCACAGTCATGACATCAAGAGCCTGCCAGTGTTGACAGCTGGCCTATCAGCAACATTGTCTGTGTGAAGAGTCGCGTGAAGTCAGGATACTAGAGTTGGTGCATTTGGCAGGTAGGTTGACTGAGGTGATGAGAGAAGCCTAGAGTGGATTAGTGAAGTCAGGAATCTGCCTTCACTGATATAGAAGGTGTGAGTGTACAGAGCTCACCTTTGTCAACAGCTGGCCTGTTGGTTGGGTTCTGTATGTGAAGATTTGGATGAAGTCAGGAATCTGGTTGCCATTATAGTGGATTGAGTGGGATTATAGTGACGCTGAGAGAGACAGTTATGGTGATAAATAACAATGATAGTTTGCTATTATCAACAGCTAGTATGTCAGCCAGGTTCTGAATCTGTCATTTATAAGGAGCTTTCTTTTAAGAAAATAGGGTGCTTAACATCCTTTTATTTTGGCAGCAATGATCAATATTGACTATCGTATTTTAGATTTTTGTTTTGTTGGCTCCTGTGCAGAAGATGGCTTTTTTTCATTTTGGGTTTTGCTTTCTTAGTGCTCATATCCAGCTGACATGTCGCATGAAAAAGATGGAGATCTAATTTGCAGCAGAGTATAAGAATATTATTGTCATCTTTTAGATGAAACTTTTTTTTCACTATTATCATTTTATTGCTAGTTTTACTCCATCTCATTATCATCTTCTCTTTAGATGAAGCATTTTAATGATTATTTTATTACTAGTTTTACTCCATATTAATGTTGCCTTTTAGATGAAGCATTTTCACTAATTCTATTGTAGTTTTACTCAAGCTTATTTTTACTTTTTAAATGAAGCATTTTCATTATTATTTTATTGCTTATTGACTGGATAGACAATGATGTCAGAATGAACGGACATGTTTTTTCATTGCTCAAAAAAGCGATGTTGTATTTTAAAAAAGGATGTCTTTATTTGAATTATTCATTTATTTTTATATTTTTTTTTTGTTTATAATATTATAAATGTGTCATATTATTATGCCTTTACAATATTTAATTATTAAAATACATATTTCTCTATTTTTTAAGTCAATGTATACATCAGTTGCTTTTTATTTTTAAAATAAGTGTTTTAGCAAGTTTACTTACTTTATTAAGAATGCTTGTTATCATTAGGAATTGTTATACTAGGAACATTGAATTACTTATACACTGGGATGAATAATTCTATATTTATATTTAAGTATAACATTTCTTTTTTATGAAAGCGGACATAATTATTGAAATTGTAGGAAATGCATATTGAATGGTAATTTTTGTTTTGTTTATCATTGACTATTCATTCATTATTGCTGATTTCTTTATCTATCATTTATCATTCAAACATTTTTAGCAACATTTGCCAATAATTTTAGTCTGTTATCCTTTTCTTATTTATTGATTGCAGTAACATTTTTTTTATTGACAAGGATGTATTTTCAAATATTTTGTTTACTTTTTTGTTTTGTTCAGTAGTGAATGTCGTTCTTTATTATTTATCTCTCAAATATTTATTTTTAGCAACAACACTAATAAAAAAAATGTTCTCATATATTTATTGATAATTTTATACTTTTATTAGTTTTATTCTTTTCTTATTTGTTTATTCACTTCCATTAAAGTAATAATAAGTCAAAATAGTACATTTGATAACAAACTATTCACTCCAACATCTACTGGAAAATATATATGGTCATTCCTTGTCATAGTATAGGGCTTACTTGTCAAAGTGATCCAAAGAATGAATTTGTCTGGAGTTACAATTCCTGTAGGGCCACCCATGGAGGTATGGCTGAAGAGGAAGTACCAGACTGAATGCAACCGACCCCCAAATACCTCAGTGGTGGAATAGGCTACAGATCTACACGTTCTCAACAGCTAAACTGGCAGAAGAGGACAGCACCAGTCAGGCTGGCATAACCAACGTGAACCTTGACAGACCAAGCATCTGACAGCTTGATGCAACCAGGTTTAACAGATTTCATCTGGCACAATCCCCTTTGAGCCTTGAGGAAGTGTATCGGCTTCTCTGTTGCACAGAGTTGTCCACCAAAATCAGATTCATGTGAATGGCCTCATCAAACTCACTTTGATTCTCAGATATCTCCACCACCACCATTTAGGGAGAGAATGGAAATAGGGAGAGAGGATGTCAGTCTGGATATGACCAGGTGCCAACAACAATTGCTTATTTTCACTATTCTCCTTATGTCAGACTCAGTTAAGCTTGGTAAATATCAAATAAATATCAATTATATATATATGCATATATAAATATATATATATATATATATATATATATATATATATATATATGAAGAAATATAGTCTTAAGGTGTGCTATATTTATGGGATAAAGTGCTCAATATCAGAGATAGAGCATGTGTAAATATAAAATGAACATTGAAGTCAGCAACGATAAACATGTTTGAAGGACTACTAGATTTTAGTTTTTGGTATAAACATTATAGACATTGGATATTTATGAGATTCCAATTTTTAGTTTTTGTCCATGTTGAAGTATAACAAGGATTTTATGGAATTGTGTAGACGCAAGACGAATCTGTTTTATGCCTAGCATGAAACAGACTGTTGCCTCTAAGTGTTGTGTCAAATTATATATATATATATATATATATATATATATATATATATATATATATATTTTTGTCTTTAGATTGATTTTTTTTTTGCTGTAATGATTAAAAATTACTTGATGTTCTTGTATGCATTTCTTTTCTGACAGGTACAATCACAACCACCAACGTATTACAAGAATCCTAAAAGCACTTTTAGAATTAGGATATGAAAATTTGATGCTACCTTGGTTGAAATTTCTGGCTGATTTGATCTACAAAAAAAACAAACTCCCCTTTGCTCACTCTTCTTTTGAGAAACATTGGGTTGATACTTTAGATGCTGAGAACAAATTAGAGTTGAAGTCATACGTTGATGAATTACCAAAATTGAAACTAACTGACATTACAACACATAGGAAACCTAGTGATACTAGTGAAAATATCACTAGTCCTTCAACTACTACTAACACAAAAGCACCTATTGTGGGCATTAACGCTTATAGCAGGCCAGAGGATGTTACAGCAACTACTTTCAACCCTGATGTTTCTAATACTTCATCTCAATCGAAAATGAGGAAAACTGCTCAAAATGACACTACAAAAATTGGCAGTATACAAGCAGGTAAGTTTAACTTCTTTTTGTTGGAATAACATCCATCTGAAAAGAGTTATTAGCTTATTAATTTCCAGCTTCAATTTTTTATTTAATTCAACCCATGTAAGGCAGTAAAGCCACTAAGGCATAAGGAGTTACTGGATGTTAGAGAATTAGAAAACAGAAACCTTATTGCAGTGTGAGAACAATAGAAGAGTAATCCGGAAGACAGTAGGTTAACAATTGAGATTGCATTTAAATTTTTGAAGGTCAAACTTGTCTGGGAAGCAAGAAGCTGGAAGAGAGTTCCACAGGTGAGAAGTGCAAGAAAAGAAACTGTTACCATAGAACTTATGGTTACATCTAACTAATTCGACTGTAAACTAATAGGACCTTGTCGCTAATCTAGTACTGAACTTAAATTCATAAAGTCTAGGTACCATAGCTGAGCTCATCTGAATAATTTACCATGAAAGTATTTATAGAAAAGGCACTGGGAAGCTACATTACAGTGATTGGAAAATGAGTGAGTTGAGACACCAGGTCATGACTAATAATATTGCTGATTCTTTTTTGGATTTTATCAAGAATCTCTAAATATAAAACAGGAACATCAGACGATATCTGACAGGAATATTTGAGGCAAAGACTAATGGTAGACTAATAAGATAGATTCAGGAGAGAAAAATTGTCTAGCATGACACAGTGAATCAACTTTCTTAGCTGCAGACCTAGTAATGGATTCAATATAATCTTTTCATGTTAGTCAAGAATATTAACCTGAGAAGACACGTCACTCCCCTGGAGGTTAGTATCAGCCATACAGATAACCCCTTTCTGCCTTTCATGGCAGAAAGGGATCTCTCTGATGAGAGCAGTTTAATTTTGGAGGTGTTAAAAATTAACAAACCATCCTTTGTCCAAGTTAACAGATTGTCTTTTTTTTTTTTTAGATCAGCTGCCACTTTGACCTTATCAAACTGAGCAGACTTTCTATCAGGACAGGAGTAAATAGGTGTGTCATCAGCATAGATATTAAGTTGAGAGCCGATGCCATCAGGATGGTTAATGAGAAAAGTTAAGCACAAAGTAGGACCAAGGGTAGAGCTCTGGAGGACACCTGAATTAGTATGAAAGGATCAAAAAGAGTGGCCATTCAGGACATCTTTCATTTGCAATTAGACAAAGACTGAATCCGTTCAAAAATTTCTCCGCAGAGTTATAAAATTTTAAAGTCAAAATTTGGTAATAATTATAGATTTATAAAATAAAAAAAATGACCCTATATTATAGGTTTTTTTAAATCATTATATGCCAAGCAAGTCGATAATGTCACTAAGATGCAAGGGGTTACTGGGAGTGGAAGAGAGTGAGAAGACTTTAGTGAGGGGGAAGAACAGTAAATGAAAAGGATTCAGGAAAAAAGAAGATGACAACTAACATTACCTTTACATTTTTGTAGAATGTAAGTGCAGGGAAACATGAAACGAGAAGAGAATAAAATCTGACATCAATTATAAAAGTTAAGCAGTGTCATCCCTGGTCAGTACCTAGATGAGTGACCACTTAGAAAATATTACATGCTGTAAGCTTGGATGTGCGGTTAGTGTAAATAAATAATGGCTCAGAATTGTTAACCACAAAAAAAACAATTGAGGAATATAATGCAAATACCTTTTAAATACTCAGTAATCTTAAAAATTTAACAAAATATTTTCTGTAATCTAATATTTTATTGGATTTTAGAGAATTTTGACTTTAAATTTACTATAGCTATCACTCTCATTTTCTGACAGCGTTATGTATGGGAAAATGTATCTATAAAATTTGGCACATTTTTACACATATAAAAACAATTCAGAATTATTTGAACAAATATTCGGCGTTGCCAGATTGTAATAATCTTTACAATATATGATTAGCAAATATAGTTTTACTTAACAATATTTCCTGAGGGTTACACTACTGAAACTGAGTCTTAAAAGATTTAAAAATATTATAAGTTATTCTAAATAAAATTAAAAAAATGAAAACAAATCTTATAAAAATAATTTTTCATCGTAAAAAAATTTTTATTGCCTTAATATATATTATTTATAAAAGCAATTAAAAGCTTCTCTAATTAAATAAAGTCTTAGTTTTGTTTCATTTTTTTATTTTTCAATTCAGAGCAGATTTTCATTAAAACAGGGTCCGGCTTTGCAAAAAACAATAGGTGATTTAAATTCTCCAAATAATTCTGCTTTTAACTAATATAGTCACAAAAAATTATCATATTTGAACCTCAAGTTTTCATAAAATCAAGGGGGTGAAATAAATGTAAAAAAAAATATTTGTACCAAAGTTTTCTAATAAAAACATTTCTAAAATAATTTAACTCATTTGTGAATAATTCCTAAAGGGTAGGAAGCTGTAGAGAGTCATGAAGCAACAAGGTACATAGAAGAATTGTCATGTTAGATTTCTTTAGATATTTTTACATGTGACAGTGGTGGTAATTATATAGATAAAAATTCTAGATTTGTCTTCTTTGTACCATGCCTCATTCTGGATATGGGTGATCATGGTTCTCCACAATTTCCTATCCTTTGTATCTCTTCAAAAATTTTATTTTTTTTTTGCTATCTCTCCTAATCCCTGTTCTGCACATGCTTGTAAAGTAGATTATCTACAGCTTTTCTCTGTCTCTCCTCTTTATGTGCCTGAAAAATTTCAAATTTTCTCTTCTTGATGTTAAGTATAAATGTCCTTTTTGTTTCCATTTTCTCTAAAACTCTGTCGTTACTAACATGTCTGGGCACTCAAGGGAAATTTTGCAAGGCAGTACAAGTTCCATTTAGAGCCCCAAGGAAGGTAAAGATTTTTCTCAAAATTGAGAATTTGATGTACAGTAAATCAACATATTGTTGTTATGCCTCTTGATTCCTTGGGGAACACAGGGGCTGCAACAGCACCTCTCCAACGGATGCAGTTCCAAGTGATCCTCTTCAGCTCAGCCCATCTTGTGTCTGTTGCCTTTACCTCTGTGTCAACACTTCTGTGCCAAGTCTGTTTTTGTCAATCCACTTTTCACATCCCTTGTGGATTCCAATCAAGGGCCTGCCTGGTGACACTAGAAGCAGGCTTATGGAGTGTGTAGCTGATCCATCCCCATTTCTGTTTCTTGATGTCAATCTTGATTGAGGCTTGTCTGGTTCTGTCTCACAATTGGTCATTGGAGACAATTTCCGGACACCTGATATTGAGGATGTTCCTGAAACATTGGTTAAATGGACATGTAAACTCTCTTAAATGCTTTATTTCCATGACCAGATATAACAGAATGTAATAAACATATTCAATTAATTTAGCAATATAAATCAGTATTTACAGTTACATTCACCAATCGCCTTTTAGGTTTTGTCATTGTGAAATGCTTTTTAAATATTCATAAAAATTTCTTTCAAAGGAAAATACTTTTCTTAAAAAAAACAAAACAGATTTAACATTTAACTAGAACACTAATTAAAATGTACTTTTCTGGCTTTTTTTTTTTTTTTTGCAAAATTTCTAACTTAAATCAATTTGTCTAGCAATGCCAGATTCAGTACGCAGCTGTACTAGATCAACATAGTAAACCTCAAAAGTTTGAATTTACTAAAAGATCTTTCAGCTGATGATACTGTAGCAGAAATTGTCAGCAGTATTCTCAACTTCATTTAACCAGCATTACAACATACTATTAATCCTGCAACATTATCAATCAAAACATAAAATACAGTTTTTTTGAAAAAGGACTCTTCTGTGGGATCATCTGTGTCAGTCATTTTATACAACTAGGTCTACAATAATTAACAATAAATACTAATAAAAAAGAAGTAAGTGTGGTGTGATAAGTATAGTGATGTTTGAGTATGTGAATATAAGTGTATGTTGGGCTGGGGTAATAGAAAATGCTTGAGGTTTTGATGTCCTGTAAATCTACGTGTAAACTCTCCTAAATGCTTTATTTCCATGACCAGATATAACAGAATGTAATAAATATATTCAATTAATTAGCAACATAAATCAGTATTTATAGTTACATTCACCAATCACCTTTTAGGTTTTGTTATATTGAAATGCTTTTTAAATATTCATATTAATTTCTTTCAAAGGAAAATCCTTTTCTTAAGAAAAAACAAATTTCACGTTTAACTAGAATACTAATTAAAATGTACTTTTCTGGCTTTTTTGTTTGTAAAATTTCTAATAACTATCAAAATCAATTTGTTTGGCAATGCCAGATTCAATATTCAGTTGTACTAGATCCCTTCTTAGGGCCATTCTTAGTTCTTGGGCCCTGGAACAAAGCACTGGCTGGCCGCTTCCCCCTTCTTATAGGTCTTAAACATATTTCGTCTATGATTTTCTCATCATACTTCTGTAGAAAACACTTTTCTGTTGCCTTAAGTATCTTCTTTGTCTGTGAGGAGATTGTCCAACATTCACTACCTTATAGGAAGATGACACTATGAAGATGGATCTACTTAGGATACAAAAAATATAAGTTAAGTACTAAATAAATTAATTTAACTCAAATAATTTATACAGTTTCAGACATACTGGTATATAAATAATGACATTGGTAAGCTCCATTGCAAATTACATCTCTTTCTGATTCTCTCTGTATGTCGGCCAAATGTGAACACTAAGAAAGCAAAAAGTAAATTAATAATAGTCATCCTCTGCACAGGGACTCCAAGCATCACATCCAGCCCACAAAAAAAAAAAAAAAAACTCTCAAAAATCTAAAATACAACATAAAATAGCCAATCATGAATGTTATCACCAAAGAAAAAAAGACAAGCTCAGCAGCTTACTAGATTCACTTTTAAGAAAGCTGTTCATAAACAACTGAAACAGGATCAAAGAGAATGAGAGAACTGCCAACACTCAGCAGGCCCTTGACATCACCACCATAACTTTGGTCAACCAACCCAACACACATATCACTTGAGAGCTACCCTTCTTCAAACACCTAAACCATGCCCATGTAGATATTCTGCTCACATCCAAACATCAAGCTTCATTAAGCCTCTCTTGACATCACTATCACAGTCTCAACCTGATAAACACATCAATTCCAGGTATTACCAACTTTACTATTCCTTCAAAATAACCACATAAAGACATTTCACTCGCATCTGCAAGTACAAAAGAATTTTATATTTACAATTTTTGTCTTCATTGCTTTTCATCTCATCAGTAGTACTGTCATTTTATTTGGTCTTACATGCTTCCATATACCATTTTATAACAGCATCTTTTGTTAGCAATTAGAATTATATAATTTTTAAGAATTAAAAATTGCAGTTTATACTCTACTTTTTTTCAAATTTTTCAGGGAATTCAAAAATTATTGCCTTCTATAGAAATGAAATCCCATTTGAACCAAACGGTGAGTTATTAGTTTTTTTCTAACTATTCTTTTAATTCAAATAATTGACATTTTCTATATGTTATTTATTTTGTGTGTGGGGATGAAAGATTTAATCCTTGGCTAAATAAATAAATAACAAAACAAGGAAATTGTAATTGTGTTTCAGTATATTTAATCTTCAAAATAATTTAATAGGTTATTTACATTCGGTCTAATATCCTCATCTTTGTTGTTATTATCACAGCATTTCAGCCATTGTACGATCTGACCATCAGGTATCTATCTCATAGGACAATAACCTAGAGAATGAAAACATTGGTTTGTGAATTTTGTGACATAGTAATTGTGAGTTCAATCCTTGGGCTGGATAATGCAGTTTCATAGGAAAGAGTGTAAGCAATATATAAACAGTATTGAATAAGAACAAGAAGAGATATCCCTAGACATGGACAGCAGAACTAGAATAATCTACATCCATAGATTAAATAATGGGTTCAGTTTGAAATTCCCTGATCAACAGACAAGTAAAGAAGTCTGGAAGGCACAACAGCCAGAATGTTGGGATAACAATAAAGATGAGGATACTAGCCTGACTGTAAATAATGATAACTTCTTATCTCAAAAATTCAAACAAAAATTACCTGAAAGTTAACCATATCAACAGGCACCTCAAGAAGGCTGGAGGGAACTGTGGTTGAAACATTGTGATAATAACAACAAAGATGAGGATATTAGTCCGAATGAAAATAATGATAAATTCTCATACCAGGAATTCAGACAGATATCACATAGTCTGCATTAACACAGTTAATAAATAGATATGGAGAAAGGTAGATACGAAAAGACTGAAATAGATAGATATGAAAAGATAGATAGATATGAAACAACAGACAGATACAAAAATGCTGAGATAGATAAATACAAAAAGACTGAGATAGATAGATATGTACAAAGGTAGATATGAGAAAACTGAGATAGATGAGAAAAGACAGATGAGATCGTAGGTATGAAAAGACAGAAATATAGATAGATGTTAATAAGCTGAGATAGGTACATAAGAACATAGATAAATATGAACAGACTGTGTTAATAAATAGATAGGTATGAACAAAGGTAAATATGAACAGACTGGAATAGATAGATAGATGTGAAAAGACTGAGATAGATATATATGAAATGACAGAACTGAAAAGGCTGAGATAGATAGATATGAATAAAGGTAGATATGAACTCACTGAGATAGATGCAAAAAGACTGAGATAGATAAATAAATACAAAAAGGTTGAGATAGATACAAAAAGACTGAAATAGATAGAAAGATAGTGTTGTGATGATATAACCTAACTTCCCCATTCACGATAATGGACGGACTGGTTGCTGATTAAGTACGACCACAGCGGACAGTGAAAAAAGGTCTTCGTTTGTTACACCGATTGAGGTTAGAATACTCCCGACTCTGTCTCTGTACTTGACATACCTACATCTGATTATAAACCTATTATTGAAAACCAACACTCGGGTTACTTTGTTTATTATATCTTGCACGAGATATAACAGCTGGCGACGAGGATTGTGGAACGTACTTACTTGAAAAAAAAAAAATGTATATATATATCATATTATGCTGAACGGATTTCGGAAGCAGATTCGCAAGTCAAAGATATCAGTTGACGCCGATTAGGATTTCAAAAGCGGAGTCACAAGTCAAAAGGAAACTTTTTGAAAAGTAAGAAAATTTTTACTGTTAAATTGTGATTTGAAAAATATATAGTGAACCGCGACTCAAATGCGAGCCGGTCTAATAATTGATTATTCAAGTAAAAATTACGGGTTGTAAAAATATTACGACTGTAAATTGTCTGTTAACCGTCTAAAAAAAAAAAAAAAAAAATTTTTTTTGGCGAATTCTAAATAAAGTCAGGATGGAGCAATTAGTCGAATGACTAAAATGTTGTGTACAAGCTTGCAACAGCAACAACAACAGCATCAAGAGTTAGACCAAGAGTTACAACAACAAATACTGCAACAGCAAAAAGTCTCGAAAAATTCTGAAACAGGCGACTGGAGAAAGAAAAATGCTGTTTTTTCTGCCGAAGGAATAGCAAATTCATTATCCGAATTTATATATGAACCTGATTCGGGCATTACATTTCCAGCATACTTTAAACGTTTCGAAACTATATTTACCAAGAGATGTCAACATTGGTTGGATGAGGAACGAGTAACATAGTCCAGAAACTAGGGACAAACAAGAATACGAAGTACTCAAACTTGATATTGCCCAGAAAGTCAGAAGAAGTTTCGTTTGAAGAAACTATAAGTATTCTGTCAAAAATATTTGATGAAAGGAATAGTCTGTTCCACACGCGATACAGATGCCTAAACATGGTTAAAGCAGATAACGAGGATTTTCTGACATACGCGGGAACAGTGAACTCTCTGGTTGAAGAATTCAAGTTAGAAGAAATTCCCAAAGATGTATTCAAGTGCCTAATTTTTCTTCAAGGACTAACTGATCCTAAATATAAAGAAATTAGGTCGAGAATATTAATAATGGTCGAGCAAGACTCGAAAATAACATTACAAAGGGTGACCGAAGAATGCCAACGTCTCATAAACGTAAAAAGGGATAATACACAAATTGAGGAAAAAAGTGTTGCTAATGTTCGACACGTAAAAACTCAAACTCCAAAAGCCAAAAAGATAGAAAAATGTGAGACGTGTAGAAAAAATAACCATACCAAAAACACGTGTTGCTACAAAAAATAAATTCTGCCAATCGTGCGGAAATAAAAAATCATACCAAAGACGTGTGTTGGTACAAAAAATAAATTCTGTCAATCGTGCGGAAATAAAGGGCATAAATATTCGGTTTGCTGCAAGAAAAGGAAATTACAAGATGTAAGCCTGGTATTATCAGAAAAAGAAATTCAGAACGGTAAAAATAGAAAGTACGTAGATGTACGATAAATAATCATACAATTACTTTCCTATTGGATTCTGGTTCAGACATAAGCATCATTGATGAACAAACATGGAAAAATATTGAAGACCCAAATTATCTGAAACCAACAAAACCGCTAGAGGGGTTTCAGGAAAGAAATTAAACTTTAAGGAGAATTAAAGTGCGATATTTTGTTATGTGGCAAGACTGCAAAAACGAAAGTGTATGTAATCCAAGGGATTAATTCATGTCTTTTTTGGAGTAGACTGATAGTACTCTTTGATTTGTTTGAACTCCTGATTAACTCATTTTGCAAACGTAATAAACAGTGCAGAAAAACAAAAAGTATTGAAAATGAAAAATTCATGAATGAATTAAAAGAAGAATATCCCAGAGTTTTTTCTGAGGATTGGGTTTATGTACTAAGACGGAAGTCAAATTTGAACTCAAGGAAAATGTGAAACCAATTTTTAAACCTAAGAGAAACATTCCTTTTTCCTCCTTAGACACAATTAATAAGGAATTGGAAAAGCTTGAGAAAATGGGAGGATATCTAAGGTTGACCATGCGGATTGGGCCTCGCCCACAGATTATGTTAAGAAGAAAACAAAAAAATAAGAGTGTGCAGATTTTCAACAGGGTTAAATAATTGCCTTAAAAATCACAGTTATCCACTACCTTCACCAGAAGATATTTTTCAAAGTTGAATGGGGGTAAGATTTTTCAAAAATCGACCTGTCTGACGCATACTTACAGATTAAAGTGAGTGACGAATGCTCAAAATATTTGTGTATAAATACACATAAAGGTATTTATAAGCTAAATAGGCTTCCTTTCGGCTTAAAGGTCGCCCCAGCTTTGTTCCAACAGGTGATAGACACTATGCTGGCAGGCCTTGAGTTTGGTACCGCGTATTTAGATGACATTCTAGTCAAAAGTAAGAATGTTCAAGAACATAAAACGCACATCAGAGTGGTATTCAAAAGACTAGAAGATTTTGGCTTTAAATTAATCCACGAGAAGTGTAAATTCTTCATGGAAAGAATTACATACCTCGGACAGGTGATAGACAGTGAAGGCAGGAAACCGGACCCACAGAGAGCCGATGCAATTAAGAATATGCCTGCACCCAACACAGTTGCGAAACTACAATCGTTTCTGGGGTTGGCACAATATTATGCAATCTACATACCTAAAATGTATGATTTAAGAGCCCCCTTAACGAATTGTTGAAAAAAGACAAGAAATGGTTTTTCAAAAATAAAAAAATGCCAGAAAAATAAAAAATGTCTACCCTCAGATCTCGCCTTAGCACATTATGATCCTGAGAAAGAGATCATTCTGGTAACTGACGCAAGTTTGTACAGAGTGGGTGCTTCACTGCTACACAAATATAAAGATGGCACTACTAAACCGATTGTGCACGCGTCGTGGACTCTTCTTCCGGCTGAAAAAAATTATAGCCAGATCGAGAAAGAGGCTTTGTCGATTGTGTTCAGGGTTAAAAAAAATACCATCGCTTTTTACATGGTAGATCATTTGTACTTCAAACGGACCATAAAACCGTTACTTACAATATTTGAGGTAAAAAGGCATTCCTACGATACAGCTAATCGCTTACAGCGATGGGGTGTAAACCTGCTTAATTACCATTTTAGGATGGAATACGTCAAATCTAAAGAACATGGGCATGGGATGGATTGTCAAGGCTGATTCCAAAAATGAAGAAATGTTAGAAGAGACGGTGATAGCAGCATTAACTGAGGAAAAAGAAATATCAGGTCTCTTGTTGAATACAATCAGGGAATTGCCGGTAACTTTAGACCAAATAAAAAAAAGAAGCGGAAAAAGATCACTATATTATGAAATTAAGGAACCAGACGAAATGGAACAAAAGACAGAAAAAAGGGAACTCAGATTTCACCTTTTTCAATTTGCAATAACACATTGATGTACGCAGATAGAATTGTGATACCTCAATCTTTACGTACAGATATGCTGAAAGAATTTCATACCGGTCATCCTGGAATGTCTCGGATGAAATCACTCATGTGTGGTTACGTATACTGGCCAGGAATGGACAAGGATATTGAAGGTTTTGTAAGACTATGTAGAGGTTGTCAATTGGCTGCAAGGAACCTCAGGTCAAAATGAATCCTTGGTCGAAAACGGATTTGCCATGGGGCACGTCTACATATAGACTATGCTGGACCAATTAAGGGTACTATTATTTGATATTGGTGGACTCTTTATCGAAATGGCCTGAGGTAGTCAAGTGCAAGCATCCCACATCTAGGAACACCATCAGTGCATTGGATGAAATTCGGGGTTCCCAGGACATTGGTTAGCGACAATGGTACGGCATTCACAAGTATGGAGTTTAAGGATTTCTGTACTGCCTTAGACATTGAACACATAACTACACCAGTGTGCCATCCCAGGTTGAACGGTCAAGCCGAGAAATTTGTTGACACTTTTAAACGTGCTTTACGTAAAAATAAAAGTATGGACACGGAAGAAAGAACTATTTAGAAGTTCTTAGCAATCTATAGGGTAACTCCTAATGAGAACAATGATGCGAAAATGTCACCGGTGGAAATTATGTTCGCAAGGAAAATTAGATCAATTTTCGATAGATTGTTACCCTATCAAAACAAAAAAGTTGCTATGAAAGAGGAAAAAGTCAACATAAAAAAATACACTTCAGGAGATAAATTTTTTTTTTAAATTTTAAAAGTGGAAAAAGCTATTGGATGGATGGCATAATCCAGAAAAGGATTGGTAAAGTGGTCTACACAATTAAAAGTAAAAAAATTTATGTGTAAAAGACACAGCAATCAGATTAGACCACGATATGGTGAAGAAAGTGAAAAAAGAATTTCCGATGGAAGTGTTATGCGATGCTTTTAACATGACACTACCCAATAGTGTATACGAACCTGTATCTCATGGACCAGCCTTACGGGCTGAAAAGCGGAAATTATCTTCGCCAAAAAAGGATCTAATTGTGACGACTAAAAGAAGGAGCACACGGAAAGAAAACCAGTCGAGCGTTTTAGCCCGGATCCGAAAAGAAGACAACATTAGAAGCAGAAATTTTCAAAAGGGAGAATTTCAGCTTCGGGCGGAGGTGTTGTGATGATATAACCCAACTTCCCCATTCACGATAATGGACGGACTGGTTGCCGATTAAGTACGACCACAGCGGACAGTGAAAAAAAGGTCTTCGTTTGTTACACCGATTGAGGTTAGCATACTCCCGACTCTGTCTCTGTACTTGACACACCTACCTCCGATTATAAACCTATTATTGAAAACCAACACTCGGGTTACTTTGTTTATTATATCTTGCACGAGATATAACAGATAGATATGAACAGACCGAGATAGCTTGCTAGATAGATAGATGAGAAAAAACAGATGAAATAGATAGGTACAAAAAGATAGATAAATAGTGTTACATTAAGTCAAGGAAAACAACAGACACAGGTTTGAGAGAGAGCCAACACAGAACGTGGCTGGCCTTTATTGGGTATCGGAAGAAAGAGAATGAGACAAGGGGTTAAGGAGAAAGGGGGTGTATCAGAGAGCAAGAATCATGTTCCTTAATGTCAATTGTGTTTTTGCCATGTCATATGACAAACTTAGAATGTCTGTAGTGGGTGGTGGTGGTTGTCCATTTCTCGCATGCTCTGTTGGTTCAGAAAATTTGCACAAATGACACCTGTTTCACCAATAGGTTCCACTCGCTGTCTGGACTGTATTCTTTAACATGTCTGGTTGTCTCTTACACCCAACACTATGTGGTCACGTAGCAAAGAATCATGTAAACACTCACAAAAATTGCAAAACTTTGCTAGGTTGTGAAGCATGGTTAGATATGAATCAATGCTCTCACTTTGTTCCTGATCGCTTTTGTTGAAGACATGCCGTTCACACATCTCATTGGTCTGTCTTATAAAATGTTGATCAAACTTGGCTATTACCGTGTCCAAGTCATCTGTTTTCCATTGAAGTGAATTGAAAACCATTGTAGACTATCAAAGCATCTGGTCCGATAGTGTGGAGAAACAGTGCTGTTTGGTATTCCTTATTTTGTTTGCGCAGCTTGGTTACGATGATGTAATTATTCCACATCTGTTTCTGGAGCTTCCATCCTTGTGAGGCATTAGTCTTAATGTCCAGTTTGCTCGGTGGTGATATGTTTGACTGGAATCATTCCGCCATATTTTATGCATGTTGTTACTTTTTTCTTTCCGTGTTATCGTCACTCCAAATGCCGGACACTGCTGAAACAGCTTATGTGGGGCTGCCTTTTTTGTTAGTCCCCATTTGCAGGGTTGTAAAGTATGAATTACTTCCTTGCTGCCACCATGTTATATTAAGTAACGGAAAACAGGACAGACACAGGTTTGAGGTTTGAAAGAAAGCTGACACAGAATGTGATTGGCCTTTATTGGGTACTGGAAGAAAGAGAATGGGACAAGGGGTTAGGAAGAAAGGTGACATATCAGAGAGTGAGAATCACATTCCTTAACATTGATTAGGGAGCATACATTAACGGTAGTGCAAAGGGAGTATACATTAAGCAATAATGTAACAGATAGATGTGAATAGGCTGAGATAGATATATATAAACATAGGTAGATGTGAACAAACTGTGTTATGAAAAGACATAGATTGATTGACAACAAAGATGAGGATGTAAATAATGATAACTTCTGATCTCAAAAGTTCAAACAGAGAATTAAGAGGTGTCTGACTTTGAATTGTTGAATTAATTTGATTTTGTTTTAGTTGTAGAGAGAATACTGATATTTTAGCAATTGTTTTATACTTTTCATTGAGATAAAATTAGTAGAAGACTGTTAAAATTACTATATCAACTTGATTAAATTGCATTAGTGTTTTTCAAACTCCTTTGATCATGACTCTGAACATAGAAACTGTTTGATCTGATGACTGTCAGGAAAGAAAAATAATTTCCATGTTGTCTCATTAACTTTATGTAATAAATTTTTCTTTACCTAGTTGAATACATGTTGATAGTTTCCTTCTCAGAGTTGATTTTTTGTAATTTAAGGTGAATTTATAAATGTTATTCTGAAAACTTGGAGCAAAAAACCTGAGAAATTAATGAATAATTCCCATTACATTTACTGGTAAGTAAAATTGATAATTATTGCAGGAATTTTCATTTTTTAACTATCAAATAAAGGAAAACTTTCTTGAAATTTTCATGAAATATTTAAAATTTTCATGCATTTGTTTTTTAGAAGGAAAAATTAAAGACAAGATTTTTTTGTTTTCTTTCCATGTAATGTCATTTGTTTAAAGGATGCATTCTTATATAGGTTACCCATTATGTTCTTTTGCAGTTTGAAGTTTTTTTTTATCTATACTAATATTAATATATGTGTATGTCTGTCTGTTGGTGCCACAATGACAACTAAGGTCTGATATTTGGCATGACAATTTTTTTTTATAATTCTGCTTGTCTCATAACCATTATGGCTTCCCAGTACCACATAAATAATGGAATATTTCGTTTTCAACATATATAAAAACAGAAAAGACATATCAGAGACATTACTTGGTTTCAGTAAGAAAATGAAAGAATGAAAGATAGAAGTGTTTAATATCTGTTTCAGTGAAATGGAAAAAGTTGTCAATTTAAAATGTTTTCATTTGTACCCCCTTACTTCTAACAACCAGCTTTTAAATTTATTATTGTCATTGCAATATTTTATAAAAGTTTTTAAGCTCAAATATTTAACATGTGATAGGTGAATTTCTACAGATATTTCATTATCTTATAACTTGCTGCCATGAACTTATTTTTTGTTTTGTTTGTGAAGTGCATGTTGTGTAACCGTCAAAATTGCTTTCAGACAAACATTCTGAAATTTTCAGAATTTAGTTTTTTTTTTCCAGACCAAAGTTATGAAAACTATCAGTGTCTCTGTGTGCAAAGCATTTTTGCTCAAAAGAATAATATAATGAAATAAATTCAAAACTGTTACTACAACAGACAAGGAGTGTTCCACTGTTCTATTCAATTGAAACATTTCTAGACACTTGGGAGACTATCTAGAATCCCTCAACATTTTTAAGCTGCTTGGTGTTCTGTCATACAGGCTTTGACTAAAAATTATGCTTCAAAAAACTTTCACCCCTCCAAAGTTTTTTTCAGTTTTTTTCATCTAGCTGCCAAAGTAGCTATCCTAATTGGAGGATGCAAAAAGGAGGATGTGTTCGTTTGCAGGATCCCCATCATTTCAACAGACTTAGCCTCTGAATTCAATTGTCTTTAATTCCCTGTGAGATTTAGCCTTACCAAACCTATCAAGAAGCCACAAAAACAATCTCAGGCACTATAATCTTAATCTCTTCAATTCTAGGGTTATTTGTTATATATCCTCCACATCCTCATAATCTTAACTTTGTATCTCCTTCTCTTAATGTTGCATTGTCATGTTTTCCTATGTTGTTTGAGCTGGTGTTTGAAGAATGACAGTTGTTACTTCACAGTGGGTCACATTTGACTGCTTTTAGGCCAATACCCCAGAATTGCACCATCTGGATTTCTCAATGAAAGTCAAAAGCCATCTTTTCACTAGGTGAAAGGTTTTCTTGTAATAATAAAATAATAATAAATAATGACAAATGATAAATAGCACAATATCTGTATTGTCTCCATCAGTCTAGTTCTTTTAGTTTCTTTGTATACCGCATAATATGAAACAAAATAATAATAAGCTAAGAGTTAAACGAGGAATTTACTCTATAACCTGTAATGATTACTATAAGGAATACATAGGTGAAATCTCAAGAAAGATAAAAGTTTATATGAACACAAAAGGGATCTTTTACAAAAAAACACACCATAATGAACTTGACCATAATTTTGATTTAAAAATTACTTTATTAATTAAAAAAAAAGCAATATACTAAGACAAACATGTATAGAAATTACAGAATGCTTTAATTGCTATATCATCCACAATAAATTTACATCCAGGTTCTTACAACATTTCACCTTTCTGGGCAGATCTTCTATTATCCCACTATGTAATTCTCAACACTTGCTCGCATCAGGATCGTCATCCCCTCTTCTTATTCCCTTTCTCCCATTGGGTAGCTGTGGCAGAGATGGTTGTGAAGGCCCAGCCTACTACTGAAGGTTTTATTTGGAGTGAATAACAATAGTCAAGTAGGTGGTGGATGTGGCTGAGCAAGTCGAGCCCTTCTGACAGCACATCGTAGATCCTCTTCATGTTGATGGTTGGACTCAAAAGTCTCAACCTTCCCTTGGCTATTGGGAAGGCCAATTTGCAGCACCGGTTTCCAAAGTCTCAGGGTCAGTGTTGGCCTGTGTCATGTATGTTTTTTTTAACTAGATTCTTGAAGCACCATTTTGGGTTTCCGCATAGCCTCTTGCTGATGGTAAGTTCTCCAAACAGGATGATATGTGGAAGTCAAGTGGGATGCATTCTGGACATGTGGCTTGCCCAGTGGAGGTGAATATAACTCAGTACTACTTGCAGCATGGTCAGGTCATCAGCCACTAAACCAGTTACCACCCACCACTAGGCTTTTCTGATGAGGAGAGTGGCAAGACACTTGTCAGGATTAAAAACAAGGCCTGTCAAAGGGCAGATGATCCTTCTTGTAGGGTCAATGGCCATTTAGCACAAAGGAGCATACTTGGCTTCATAGATATGTATACAGCCAGTGCAGTGATGACATGGTATCGTTGGTGGAGGGCTTCCTCAACTGAAGTCAACAGCCAGGTCAGAAGGTTCCTAACTATCCAAATTTTCCAAACATGTAACAGGAAACAATGAAGATCATAGTCTGGGACATTTTCAACTGATCCTTGAAGCATCATTTTGGGTCTACTTTCTTTGTATACCGCATAATATGAAACAAAATAATAATAAGCTAAGAGTTAAATGAGGAATTTACTCTATAACCTGTAATGATTGCTATAAGGAATACATAGGTGAAATCTCAAGAAAGTTAAAAGTTTATATGAACATAAAAGGGATCTTTTACAAAAAAACACACCATAATGCACTAGAGGTGTCTCTTGCTGATGGTGAGTTCTCTAAACAGGATGATATCTGAGAGTCATGGAAAAAATTTTTGCTAATGATCAGGCAGAGGTTGCCCCTCCACTCAAACAGGAAGAAGAGAGATGGTACTTGCCTATGTTCGGCATTTACCACCTGAAAAAAACAAACAAAATTAGAGTTGTCTTTGACTTCAGTGCCCAATATAATGGAGTATCATTGAATAACGCCCTATTAACCAGGCCAGATCTAAACAACAACTTGATAGGAGTTCTGATCTGTTTCCGAAGAGAGCCTGTGGCAATCGTGACTGATGTTGAGCAAATGTTTTTCCGTTTTCTCGTTAAAAGAGAGCACAGAGACCTTCTGAGATTCCTGTGGTATAAAGACAATGACCCTGAAAAGGAAATAGTTGAATATAGGATGAAAGTCCATGTATTCGGCAACAGTCCATCACTGGCAGTGGCAACTTACTGTCTCAGGAAATTTGTTGGAGGGACATATCCAGATTGCGGCCCTGCTGTTGTTCAGTACGTTCACCGTGACTTTTATGTGTACGATGGACTAAAGTCAGTGCCTACTGTAGGAGAGGCCATCTCCTTGCTGAAAGAAACCTGAAATGTTCTGGCAGCATCCAATTTGAGACTACATAAAATAGCCTCCAATAAAAAGGAGGTTCTGGATGCTTTCCCTACAGGGGACCTCGCCAGTGACATCAAAGATCTGGACCTCAATGAGGAGGCTGTACCGATGCAACGTAGCCTGGGACTTGATTGGGACCCAGAGAGTGACTGCTTCATCTTTCGAGTTGCAGATGAAAAGAAACCTTATACACGCAGAGGTGTCTTGTCAACAATCAACAGCCTCTACGACCCTCTTGGTTTCGTAGCTCTGGTTATCATCCAAGGCAAGTTCATTTTACGGGAGCTGACATCTGATAAGGTTGATTGGGATACTCCTTCACCTCCTCAGAAGGAGCAACTTTGGACTGCATGGCGCAACTCCCTACAAGAACTCCACAACCTCCAGATCCCAAGGACTTACATCACTAAGTCACCCACTGCAGCATCTTCCAGGCAGTTGTGTGTCTTCACGGACGTGTCGACTAAGGCGATTGCGCATCCGGCGATCATCTCAGCCTAAACAGTGGCATTACGTACTCACAGATAAAAATCCAGCTGACTGTGGAACCAGATCAGTTCCTGACATCCAAATATCTACTACAGCCTGGCTCAACAGTCCATCTTTCCTCTCCAACTCCTTATTCAACTGTTTTGAACCCAACTCCTACTGCCTTATCGATCCTGAAAATGATGTTGAAATCCGTCCAGTGGTGGCAACCTTCACCACCCACTCCTCCACTGTGCTGCTCAGTGCTCATCGCTTCAGGAAGTTTTCCACATGGACGGCACTTACACAGGCAATCGCTCATTTGATCCACATCTCTCAGTCATTTCAGAAAGAGACTAGGTCGAATGACTGCAAGGGCTGCCATTACTGTCGAGCACTGTTTCCAGTAGAAACACTGGTGCAATCCAATAATGTGGTCCTCCGGTCAGTGCAAAGAGATACGTACACCTTGGAATTCTCTTGCTTAACAGAGCATAGGGAACTTCCCAAGAGCAGTGCACTCAGAAAATTAGATCCATTTGTGGATGACCAACATCTCCTCAGAATCGGAGGTTGCACACAAAGAACAGGACTAGATCATAGCGAGATGCACCCCGTTATCTTATCTGGCAAGCACCATATAGCATCTCTGCTCATTAGGCACCACCATAAGCAGGTACATCACCAGGGACGTCACTTCACAGAGGGTGCAGTCCGTGCTGCTGGCTTCTGGATTGTCGGTGGAAAGAGAAGTGTCAGCAAAACCATCCACTACTGTGTAATTTGCAGAAAGCTCCGTGGATTTATGCAGATCCAAAAGATGGAAGACCTACCAGAAGATCGCCTATCTATGGAACCTTCCTTCACAAATGTGGGGCTCAACGTTTTGGGGCCATGGCCCATTGCTTCACATCGGACCAGAGGAGGCTTGGCCCACAGCAAGCGGTGGGCCACCATATTTACATGCATGACCACAACAGCAGTTCACATCAAGGTCTTGGAGTCACTCGATACATCATGCCTGATAAATGCTCTCAGGCGCTTCTTTTCCATCCGGGGTTCGGCAAAACTTATCCATTCTGACCAAGGCTCCAATTTTGTCAGAGCCAGAAATGAACTCGGAATCAATTCCACCCTAGACACAAGTGCTATGAGTAAACACCTCTCTGACTACGGTTGTACCTGGTTATTCAACCCTCCACATGCACCACACATGGGTGGAGTGTGGGAAAGAATGATAGGTATAGCCAAGAGAATTCTCAATTCCATGTTGCTGCAGCATGGAAGTACAAAACTAACCCATGAAGTACTCACCACCTTTCTGGCTGATGTAGCTGCCATTGTTAATAACAGACCACTTGTCCTGGTATCCACAGACCCAGAGGACCCAGTTCTGCTAACACCTTCAACAATCCTCACCCAAAAGATTGGCTCTGTTCCTGCACCGATGGGTGACTTCACCACAAAGGATGTTTCTAGACAACAATGGCGGCATGTTCAACATCTTGCGCAGACGTTTTGGAACCGGTGGAAGGGCCAGTACCTCCCTCTTTTGCAGGCCCAAAGCAAATGGACTTCCAGCATTCCAAACCTGAAACCTGGCAGCGTGGTTCTTTTGAAAGACCAGGATTCAAAGAGAAACGAATGGCCCTTGAGACTGATTACCCATGTCATTCCTAGCTGAGATGGAAGGGTACGACAGGTCGAAGTGAAAAGTCACAAAAATGACGGTGCAAAATTGTTCTTGAGACCTGTGACAGAGACAGTATTTCTCCTTCCCCCTCTTCCATCTGAGCCTATCAGTTAAAATATACCATCTTCCTCCTCTATTATCCCATCCGTATACCCACTTTCCATGTCGCTTTGTTCTCCCCTCTCCATGATTTAATTTTTTCACAGAACAGTTACTACTCTTTTCCTTTTCTTTTTCTCCTGCTATTTCCCCTGCCAAACCAGTTGAATTCATTACATTCACTTATGTGCTAATACCCTTGGGAAAGGTATGAATCCTCTTCTTCTCCCTCCCAGCTATGGGTAAATAGCAGGACAGACCAGGTTCTATAGCCTTGGATGGCAACTGGTCTACCACAGAAAGAAATGATAACCTACTGTGGGAAAAAATCTGCCTCGTCAGTCATGTATCGAAAAAAGCATGATTACCTAAGTGTGTATCAAGCATGGCACATAACTGACTGGTTTGGACTAAAACCACCATTATTTTGTAATGTGTTCTTGGCTCTTACTGCCCATGCCCATTTTTGGTTTACATTGCACATCTGCAATAGTCTTGTAAAATGCTTCTGCCAATATCTGATTATATCATTCCACAATCCTGTTGCTAAATGGTGATTCAACTGCTGTTGTTTCAGTTTCCATATTTAGTTTCTCATTTATTCCCTTGTATCTTTCATCTGAAAGTTTTCCTCCATTATCACTCAAGAATTTTCTAGGTGCACCAAAATAAGCTATGTATATTTGGTAAATGTTTTGCACAATTTCATTTTGTTGTTTAGAAAACACTAAAGAAACTGCAGGATATTTTGTGGCAGAATCAATCATGTGCAAAATCCAAGTTTTATTGTGAATATGTTCTTTTTAGTCTCTACACACAACTTGGTTAAATTTATCAGCTATGGGTAAAGCTACAATTGGAAGTAAAGGTACATGTTTATATGTTATACATACTTCTCATGAATCACAACATTTTTCAATTATCTTAAAGAATTCAGCATCATCAAAATCCTTACTACTCTTCACAAGTTTAAACAATTTTTCTTTTGAGGCATGTGAAAATTGTCAGTGTAGCTTCATTGCTTTTTTTTCTTTTCTTTCCCAGTGTTAAAGGTTTTAAAGAAGTGGTATGCAACACCACTGCTACTTTCAATTGTCAAATAAATTTATAAATGGAATATAATAATGGCCTGATGAGGTGCAAACCAAATCTATCCTATTACTCAAAAACCTTTGCTGTATCATTCACAAAATTTCAAATAATTCCAGTTTTCTTCAGAGAGGCTTTATTCAATCAATAACAATGAAATTTCATTATATTCACTGCACAGGACTCAATCGTAACCCTTTTTCTGTCAATAACTGCAGGAAATTTTACTTTCCTAGTTGTAGTAACTTCAGCTCCATCTCTAAACTTGAATGTTGTCTCAGATGAAAAATATTCAACTTAGTATTTGTCTTAATCAGACAAAGCATCAAGAAAAATGTCCAGCTATATTTTACCAGTGATAGTTTTTGTACATGCACTGTTCAATATACCCATTCTGAAAGACTCTTTAACTAACCTGGAAGCATGGAGTTTTGTGCTATATAGAGTTATGGGAATCTCTTGCACATTTCATGTATTTTCTTGATCTTTACAATCTCTTGAGAAGTGTGTTTGTAGAGTTGCAATTAAATAATTTTTCCATCCTTGTTTATTGAATTGGAAACAATATTAGCTTCATAAGTTCTACTGAAAAATTTTCAACCTCCTCTATAATTTACTCATTCACACCAACCTCTTGTTTGAAAAATATTTTTGTTTTCAGTTACAAAAACTGGTTCAGATTTGTTACATGATACTTCTACTTGGTCATTAGTTGCAGCAGGATCCCCCCCCAATTTTTTATTGTGCACTTTATATTTTCATAAGTCATAGACCCACATGTAGCATGAGCCAGTCTATCTTTTCCATCAGACAAATTTACTGCAGTCAATAGGAAAAAGGTACATACACCTACCAGTAATTCAACTCTAAAATTACCCAGTATGTGATATAAGTATTCAAACTGAATCAAAAAGTATGTTATACTTATGCTAGAAAGTTGCCTGCAATCATAAAATTTCTTAAAGGCTAAATAAACTCAGGTGTTTCGTCTTTTAAAAACAATGTGTCCAGTTTGTCTATTATTTTCTTGACTCCATTTTCCTGATCAATTTCCTGAGGTTGCAAGTCCCTAACATAATCTCTTGTTTGTACAGTCAAACTGAGAAAAACTACTAGACCTTGTTTACATTTATTTAAGTCCGTGTACATCTACCATAAATCATTTTTCTATTCAACATAATTCTCTTTGGTTGTCGATGGTGGTGGTGATTTTAAAGTTTGCTGAGTTGTCATCTTGAGACACAGTATAAGTGGCAATGTGTAGAACACAAAACAATATAAAATATCCCACAAAATGACTGGATCTCAGACTGACAACATTTGTTAACTTGCTTAGATGATAATCAACCAAAAGAGAGCTGTGTCCTCACTGAAGAGTTCCTTTTATAGAAATAGTTCAAGCGAGATTACTGATTATCTATGCTAACTTCAAGGCAAGACAGACTGGGACTGAGTCATATAAAACTGCAAATTGGTCTATTTTATTGGCTAGGAAAAAAATCCCAGTATGCATTTGTGTGCTTTTTCTGAAAAGGGGAGAGGCAAGTGTTTTGCAGTCATTCCCAGCAGAGATTGAAATCAACATTTTACAATGTCATAACTGTTAAGGATTGGTTTTGTGCAATGTATTGCTTTCCATGATAATGCAGGACATGTACCTATCAGAATCTCTGGCCCTACCAACTATCCCATTGTAAGGAAAAGGAGTGAATGTTAGGCTTAACTATAATTAACCTTTAATGTTTATATATAATATAACATCCTGTCACTGGTGTTATTGGTTTTAATTTAGTCTATCTGCATATTTCTTGTTCTTAGCTGAACTCTGATGAGTTAAAATGTTTTTACTTGTTTTCTGATATTAGCAATTTATGGTGATGTAAATTTTTGTTATTTTTTCATGTTGTTGCAATATTTCTGTTTTATTGTGACTATTGAATTTATTTTGCTTGTTATATTTTTCATTAATTTTTCTGATTCATATTTCTTTACAGGCTTTTTCCAAACAAGTTACATGGGAGTTTCTCAGGTCCAGCCCTTACAGATGTAGATGCAAAGGTTAGACTGGATTAAGAAATTTGTTGTATAGAAAATTAGGGAGAAACATAGAGACAAAACCCAAAACAGTTAATAATAAAAACATTGTGATTAACATAACATGTGAAGCTTCAATATTTATCTCAAGGTATCTCAGAATATTTGTCCATAGCCATGAAAATGTTTGAAATATAAGCCATGATAATGGTGGTAGTTGAAGAAATTGTAAAACAAAAACTGGATTAGTTGATATCTGTTAAAAAAGAGTTTTGAATTTAATTTATATATACTTTATTTTTTAATGTTATTTTTAAAAATGTTATTTTGTTCCTTGCCTTTATGTGCAGGTGGTGTAATAGAGATTGGCTCAGATTGAGAAATCAGAGAGATTATTTCTACTTGAGTTCATTATATTCACTTATGTGCAAATATCCTTGGGAATGTTATGATTTCATCACTTCTCCCTCAGCTATGAATTAATCAGTTGGACATTTATCTAGAAAAATCATTGTTATCTCCTAAAAATTTTCAATGCTATATTCACTTGCAAAGAGAAACAAAAAGAATTGTACTTTTAAAATCAGAATATGTTTTGGCTTTGAATAACACAAAAGGTTGATAAGTCATAAAAAAAAACCAAACAAATCAGTCGATTTATATTCCTGTTATTATTACTTGACCTAAACAGTTCCAAAAAAATTTAATTTGATTGAACACAAACTTTTTTCGGGAGAATCATTTGTTCCTTAGAGAACAAGAAAATCAGAGTATATAGTAATAGGCATGTGAATAAAAAAACAGAGGTTATAGGATTAGGTTGAGAATACAAACAGAGGTTATAGGATTAGGTTGAGAATACAAACAGAGGTTATAGGATTAGGTTGAGAATACAAACAGAGGCTATAGCATTAGTTTGAGAATACAAACAGAGGTTATAGCATTAGGTTGAGAATACAAACAGAGGTTATAGGATTAGGTTGAGAATACAGAGGCTAAAACATTAGGTTGAGAATACAAACAGAGGCTATAGCATTAGGTGGAGAATACAAACAGAAGCTATAGCATTAGGTTGAGAATACAAATAGAGGCTAAAACATTATGTTGAGAATACAAACAGAGGCTATAGCATTAGGTTGAGAATACAAACAGAGGTTATAGGATTAGGTTGAGAATACAGAGGCTAAAACATTAGGTTGAGAATACAAACAGAGGCTATAGCATTAGGTTGAGAATACAAACAGAGGCTATAGCATTAGGTTGAGAATACAAACAGAGGTTATAGCATTAGGTTGAGAATACAGAGGCTAAAACATTAGGTTGAGAATACAAACAGAGGCTATAGCATTAGGTGGAGAATACAAACAGAAGCTATAGCATTAGGTTGAGAATACAAATAGAGGCTAAAACATTATGTTGAGAATACAAACAGAGGCTATAGCATTAGGTTGAGAATACAAACAGAGGTTATAGCATTAGGTTGAGAATACAAACAGAGGTTATAGGATTAGGTTGAGAATACAGAGGCTAAAACATTAGGTTGAGAATACAAACAGAGGCTATAGCATTAGGTTGAGAATACAAACAGAGGCTATAGCATTAGGTTGAGAATACAAACAGAGGCTATAGCATTAGGTTGAGAATACAAACAGAGGCTGTAGTATTAGGTTGAGAATAAAAACAGAGGCTATAGCATTAGGTTGAGAATAAAAACAGAGGCTGTAGTATTAGGTTGAGAATACAAACAGAGGTTATAGGATTAGGTTGAGAATACAGAGGCTAAAACATTAGGTTGAGAATACAAACAGAGGCTATAGCATTAGGTGGATATTACAAACAGAGGCTAAAACATTAGGTTGAGAATACAAACAGAGGCTATAGCATTTGGTTGAGAATACAGAGGCTATAGCATTAGGTTGAGAATAAAAACAGAGGTTGTAGTATTAGGTTGAGAATACAAACAGAGGCTATAGCATTAGGTTGAGAATACAAACAGAGGTTATAGGATTAGGTTGAGAATACAAACAGAGGCTAAAACATTAGGTTGAGAATACAAACGGAGGTTATAGGATTAGGTTGAGAAGACAAACAGGTTATAGCATTAGGTTGAGAATGCAAACAAAGGCTAAAACATTAGGTTGAGAATACAAACGGAGGTTATAGGATTAGGTTGAGAAGACAAACAGGTTATAGCATTAGGTTGAGAATACAAACAGAGGCTATAGCATTAGGTTGAGAATACAAACAGAGGTTATCGGATTAGGTCGAGAATACAAACAGAGGCTATAGCATTAGTTTGAGAAAACAGAGGCTTGTTACAGGGGCAGAAATTGATAATATGGGAGACAGACCCTCGTTATTGTTACTGTTTTTAATTCCTTCTTTTCCCCGGCAAATGCAAATCCAAGTATCCTACAAAAGAGGACATTGAGTAGAGATGAATAAATGTATAATTTGTTTGTACATATACTAAAACTGGCAACTTCTGTCTGTTGCTGTTGCAAAGGCAACAGTGAGAAAGAGTGGTGAAATTAGAAGTGAAATGGATACTTGGTGGTGGCCGCCATCATCATCAGTGGCATCACACTCTCAATGTGTCAGTGTTGACATCAAACACTGATCTGTGTCTGGTCTGTTTGAATTTGAGTATATATAGTTTTTAGTTGATTCAAAATTAAGGTTTTGGTTTTTGAGTGGAAGAAGCTCTGACTGGTTATAATATATTATTAGTTTTATTTTGGTTAAAGTAGATGTATGCATTTAGCTGATGTGCAGAAAACGTATTTACGTAGTCTGCTTTGGGTTGTAGAAAGGTCAACATATGGTTTGTGTAGAAGACGGAGGAAGCACGACAGTCTATAACATTAAGTTGACAATAAAAACAGAGGCTACAGAAATCGGTTTTGAATAAAATCCGTTGCTGTAGGAAAAGTTTGTGATTAAAATGAATGCTATAGCAGTGGTTCCCAAAGGTGCCTCATAGGTGTGGAGGAAGAGAATAGCAGGTGAGATGGAATGATTGAAAAGCAAGAATTTAAAAACAGTTTAAAAAAATTCATATGGTAAAAATAAATATTTCAAAATTTCAGATATTATTATGGATTACTTGTAATTGCATCCCTGAGTCCCAGTATAAATTGTTCTAAATAATTACTAACCAATTTTACCATTGTTATTGTGGTGAACAGTCATGTAGAAGCAAGCAAGCCAGAGTGGCTTGCATCTGATGAAAAGGAAAATAAGTGTCTTACCTCAATGTACAGCACGTGGCATCAGCAGTTTTGCTCCTGTCTAGCTATTCCAGCAGTATGTTTTTTTGTACAGTTTGGCATGCTTCAACCAATAGCAAGTCATGTACTGATTGGTCGGACTGGAGGAGGCTATTTGCCTGGGTAAGAGAGAATAAAAGCAAAGAATGCTAACTGGTTGGTTGACCATGGTGTTGGCCTTATAATAGAAGGCCGAAGAATTGAGAAGGGAAGGACGGGTTTACATTTTGAAGTGTGCAGTATCTTGAATTGTACAAATGATGTCCAAGTAATAGAGACTCATTTAAACTACAGTTATATTTTTGCATTATATCAAGTATTAAGAATATAGTAAATAGGGTCTGCAAATTGGAGGAAGAATTATCAATGATAATGTTCGGACTTCTAATTTGTGGTTATCTCTCTTTTTTTCTCTCTCTGGGCTATGGCAATAGATGAAGAATCAAATCATTCAGTATAGCCTGAGTTTGAGAATAAAACCAGAGAGCATGATATACTGAGAATAAATTCAAAAGATACAGAAATAGGTTTCTAATAAAAACAGAGGCAATATCAAATGGTTGAGAATAAAAGCAGAAACAAGAGGTTGAATATAAAAACAGAATGCATAGCAATAGGTTAAGGGTTTAAGAATAAAACCAGTGGCTTTTGGAAGAGATTGTGGACCAGAGCCTACATCAATACTTTGTGAATAAAACCAGATTCTATAGCAAGTCATTGAAAACAAGAACAATGGCCATAGCAATCAGAATAGCTTAAGAGTAAAACCAGAAGCTCTAAGAAGAGGTTGAGAATAAACCCAGAGTTTACAGCCGTAGGTTGAAAATTTAAATAGAGGTGAAATTTGAGATTATGACCATTGAGTATTACAATAGTATGATGTTGCGACTTTTGCCCAGCCGGTCTTTTCGATGTTCGATCCCGACAGCAGACCGTTCAGTGGATCACTTCGATCCAAGCCTTGCCTTGTCCCAAATTCTGTTTGACTTAGATCACAAGGCTGGCAGGATCAAATTGTCAACAGGAATTGTTGAATTGGTCTGGTCCAGATAAAATGAAGCCACAAGTCATAGGATAAATTGTAATAAAGAAAATATTTTATATACCATTTCTTGTACAGAGCTGATAGTACAATATTAGTTCTTCGGGTAGAAATATATGTTCTTCATGCAGGAATATATTTGTCATGCAAAATTATTCGACCCTTCCCTTCTTCAAATATTTCATGACACTCTGTTCATCATGATTAAGTCTAGACAAGGCTTCTGAGTTCAGTGAAGAAGTTGTCTCTCACCTGGACCTGGCAGCTTCTCTCATTTGGTTGCTTTGATCATCTGTTTATATGAACCTTCATTCAAAACTGACATGGGGTCTGACATGGTTTGGAATTTTGATGATTCCCTAATCTCCATACAGAGTTCTTTGTTTGACTCTGGGAAATTAATTGCATGCCCAATTTTGGAGAGATCTCTCCTCTAAGGAGTAGTAGTAGCAGAATACCAATCCATCCTAACTCCTTCCTTCTTGTATTGGTGCTTAATACCAATACTGCCCAAGGGGTGTAGACAATTCCTCTGCCTCTCTTTGTGTATTACCTAGGCTTTTCACTTCTCTGATCACCTGATCTGTAGACTGCATGGCAAGCAGGCCTGGCTTAGCTCCAATTATTAATTTTAATTACCATCCAAAATTTTCATCAATGGAATTCCTCAACTCTTTCTCCCTTTCTAACCTGGATTCTCACCAGTTGTTCCCCTGACAACATCTTCTTGAGGCACCTGGGAAGGGCCTTATCTAAAGAAATTTTAGCAATTCACACCTTCCCTTCCCTTTTTTTTGACAAGTGATAAAAAAAAAATTCTCCAACTTTGCCTTTGTTTCCAAAAATCCCTAAATATAATCTCTTCCTTACCAGGTTATGGATTTTAAAAACAATAGTGTTTCCATTTCATAGTTGTTAACTTCAGCCATATGTTTTTTATAGGAAAAATCAGATGTTTCAGTCTTTGCCCTCTGCCTTTTTTCAAGGAAGTAAAAAAACCCTCTGAATTTACTAAAATCTGGTGTTGACTCTTGGTATGTTTATCAATCTGTCATTCAACTCTTAAAGTGTCACATCTCTCCCGGTATAGCTATCAAGCTATCCTTTCAACCCTTAAAGTGTCACAGTAGGTTGAGAATAAAATTAGAGGCTTAGCAAGAGTTTGATAAAGAAATGAGAAGCTATAGCAATAGAATAGAACAAGAGACAAAAGCAGTAGATTGAGAATAAAAAAAGAGGTTGCAATAATCTGAGAATAAAAACAGGTATAGCAAGAGCAGTTTTGCAACAATTGTGAATGAAACCAGAATCTATAGATTGAGAATAAAACAAGGGGTCATAGCAATAGTTTGAAAATAAAATCAAAGGTTATATCAATCTTTGTTACAACTTAATGAATACTTTTTGCTTTTAAAATTGTGATTTGTATGTACTAAATTCTTTCATTGGTTAATTTTTACTATAAATCTTTTATTTCTTCATAGGTAATTCAAGAGACATCAGAATTGAAAGACAGAGTGTTGGCGGCTTTTAAAATGATGCTGGACTTTTATGGCATGGATCTTGACCGGAATAATAATTTTCACCTGGCAAATCAAACAAAATTGATGAAACTTAATGCCATGTGAGTTAATCTGTTTACTTTTCTTAACATGATTGCCTGTAAATATTAAGACCATATTTTAATATTCCTATTGTTATATTAAGCATATGGTAGCAAGAGAAAAGAATAACAAGGATTAGATTGAAATAACATTTATTGTTGGTAGATAGTACAAGAATATGGTTGGGCATATGCGTAATGTCAGGGATTGAACCATTTCTTATGCCAGCATGGCCCGGGTCACAAGATACGGTTAGTGTATGTTTGCTTGATTGTGGTCACAGTTGTAGGTCATCTTGTATAGAATGGATGTCACTGGGGTTGACTGCGAAGTGAGTGCCTTGTAAATGATTTGAGGTCAGATGAAGTAGGTCGAGGTAGGGTGAGGTGATGGCGGGTTTCAGGAGGCCAGTTTTGTGGAATGAAGGTCGCTGTGTCAACAGTGAAGGGAGTGCCTTGTAAGCAAGTCAAGGTAGAGCTGTTGTGTGGAATGGATATCGCTGTATTGGCTGCAAAGGGAATGCCTTGGAAGCGAGTCAAGGTAGGTTTGAAGTAGGTTGAGGTTGGCCAGTTCTATAGAATGGAGGTAGCTGTGTGAACTTCGAAGGGTGCTTCCTAAGCGAGTCAAAGTAGAGCTGTTTTGTGAAATGGAGAGTAGCTGCATTGACTTTGAAGAGTGCTTCGTAAGTGAGTTGAGGTAGAGCTGTTCTGTGGAATGGATGTCGCTGGGGTTGATTTCTAAGCAAGTCGAGGTATGTCAGGGTGGGCCGAGGTGACGATGGGTGTTGGTATCAATGGAGACCTGTAGCTGGGAGGAATCAAGTTAGAGATTTTGAGTTGAAAACTGGATAGCTGAGGTTGTAGGTGGTAACAGTCATTGAAATGTGCAGTCATGTTGAGTAGTGGCAATGAAAGCAGTGACTGTGGCGGTAGTAGTACTTTGCATGGTGGCCAGTCTGCCACTGTGTTATCATGGTGACAGGGTCATGTTGGCAGTAGCAGCAGCAGCAGCCTGTGTGATGGCTGACAGCCACGCTGGCTGTAACTGCCCCTTGTTCATCCTCAGAGCTTGTTTTTAAGCAGTTCTGGTAGTCCCAAGAGGTGACTCTAACTGCCAGAAATGTTCATGATTGGCCACCGCTGATGTTCACTTTGTAGGTTGTATGTCGCTGCGCAGAGCCCAATGTGCAGAAACGACTTTTGTTATTTTGACCTCTGCCCTCACAGCATTCACATCCAACTAGCATGTAAAATGAACCAGAATGAGATCTAAATGCAACAGAGTATAATACTATCAAAGTATTTATCCTATTCCTACTAAATTAAAAATGTGACATATGACATTTTTCTTTTCATTGCATTAAAAGAGAACATAAATGAAGATTCCACGATAAAAAATTAACCTTAACCTGAATTGCATATATTTATATTTAGATGGAGGATTCACAAAAGTTTACTAGAATAAAATGCAAGATGATGCTGAAAAGTTCTTAACCAAAGAAAGAAAATCCCTTCTTAGGCATTCCAAGAAAAAAAGATTGTAGAGTATACAGACAACATAATTGATGTAAATAGTCTAAATGACTAAAAATAGGTCATTACACAATTGGCTCCACATATATGTGCAGGTTGAATAAAAGTTATTAAATTATAGCTTAAATTTGAATATTTTTCAATCAATTATTAGTATCTCTGGCAAGAATGAACAGACAAATTCAATGAAAAATACCTCTTTCACTAATGGAAATCTAACGAGACATGTGAGTCAGTCTAGTTCTCAATTCCAGTGTAAAATGTTTGCCAAAGAAGCTGCAGTATCAATCTTCCTTATTTATTTATTTTTTTTTTTACAGTAAGGTTCAGTCTGTACAAGGCCTGGGTTGAGGGTTATGCTAAGCAGTAGTTTATATAGAGAGGAGGGAAAAAATAAATGGCTAACTTTAAAATAAATAAAAATAAAATATTAAAAAATAAAATAACGGTTAAGAGCAGAAAACAACTAAAAACTTTGAAAGAATAAAAAAAATACCTTAAAAACACCAAAAAAGACAAAGCAAAAATCATTTCATTTGGTATGTAATTTTACAGCTTAAAAGTATTATAATTCAGTTAAGTGAAAGACTTGAACAATTTTAATATACACCCACACATATATGCATCATTAGATCAGATATTTTCCTTAAATTCTTTTCTTGCTTGCTTGAAAGATTTTCTAAATTTTAATAAAAATTTAAACATAATTTTTTACTGTTACATTATTTGAACTGAATGACAAAATTGAAAAAAAATTTATTTTGTTTTTTATACAGTAAGGTCCTGTACATGGCCTGGGGCCACTCAAGGTAGAGAATTACATTAAGGGGTAGTTTATATGGATAGGAGGTGAAGATAATGGTTAACTCTAGACTTGGACTGGTTAAGATTGTAGTGATCTGGGAAACATCCTCTTGGGAGTCTGTTCCACAGTGTAGTGGTTCATGGAAAGAAGCTGTTTGAGTGAAACTTCTTGCTGATGGAATACAGATGGAATATGGGTAGTTTGCTACTATGTAAGTGGCATGGCAGGTCCTAGCTTTGAAGTTTAGGCCTGGTGGAACCAAGGAATGTAGTTCGTCCAAGCACTTTCATTGGTATAGTGATAGAGCAGTGAGAGGCTCACCATATCCCACCTGTGAGAAAGAGGTTGGAGGGTGGAAAATAATTCTTCTCCAACAAGAACTTGGAGACACTTTTGTACTCTGTCAAGGCTGGAAAGTGAGGACTTGGCAGTTTCCAACCAAATATGGAAACAGTACTCCATTTTCGGCCTGATCTGGCTCTTATAAAGGATAGAGGGTAGCATAAGGAGTCAAGTACTTACTAGTACAATACAGGCAGCCAGTCAGAGACGCAACTGAGAGGTGATAAATTAGGTGTTACAAACTACTTGAGAGCAATTTATGGTTTTGTGATACCAGTGTTACTAATTAACCTATAACTGAGGTGGAGAAGAGGTGGATTCATATCGTTCCTAAGGTTATTTGCATGCAAATGAATATAGCAAGCCCAATGAGAATTGGAACTCAGCTCTCTGATTAACAATTTCAAGCTGTTATTCATTACACCACTTACACATCCAAGCTTATAGCACCTGATATTCCCAAGTGATCATTCATCTAGGTACTGATAAGGCACATTGCTTAACTTTGGAGATCATACAGAAAACAGTGTTTTCATTTAAGATTTAAATAATGATAATATTTTCTGGCTTTAAATAACCTGCAAAAAATAGATCAATCAATCTTGACCGTGACTTGTATTTGATAAGAATGCCATAAAATTTTTATAATTGGTTAAACATTTTATATTTCTTTTCTTTCAGGAATTGCCATCATTACAAATATATTACAAGAATCTTGCATGCTCTCAAGCAACTTGGGCACAAAGAGTTATTGATGCCCTGGATGAAGTTTCTGGCTTCTCTTATTTTCTTTAATGAATATATTCCAAATGCAAGTGACAGTTTTAGAATTTACTGGATAGATGTGTTGGAAAACAAAGAACGAAAGGAAATGTGGGCTTTACTTCCCTCTAACAGTTAAGGATACCCGTAGCATTGTTGCTTCCATACTGCCTTTAACAAGCAATAAATTTTGGGTGCAGGACAACTCAACACCGCCAGCTAATGTTCTTTTCCTTTTATGCATAAATTCAGCTTAACTACATGTTTTTTCTTTCTATTAGCGCCAATAGCAAATATCATAAAAGACTGAAAAATTGCTTGCAATTATCACAGATAATTCATTAATAATCCACAAAATAATAGAATGATATTTCCGAAAGTAATTTTATACTTATATATAGAATCTGTTTCCTCTTTTGCAACCGTCGATCAAGATAATGGAGAATGCACCAGGTCTATTGTAATTGCTTTGTGTGAAAACCACAACTGGCTCAATAGCTTTCCTCAGTCATCTCTGCTCTCTTTTCTCTTCCTAGAGGTTTTCATTACTCTCCCTCACATCTGAAGGCCAGCTTTGATAGCAAGCCTCCAGCTTGTTAGATATTTACACACACGTACAAAGTAGATTATTCATAAAATGCACAAAATTTTATAACCAAGTTTTAAATTTATTTTCTTTGTTCTTATTAATATTTAATCTTTTATATATATATATGTATAAACATAATACACAAACACACACACACACACACACACACACACACATATATATATATATATATATATATATATATATATATATATATATAATGGACTCTCCCGTCAGTTTCAACGTATGAGGATCTGCCAGCTTATTGATTCAGTTATGAAAGTTTATGTGCTAATCTTAAGTGGTATTTAAGACCTGCTAGTGATTTACAAAGGAAGTCACATATGGAGCAAGTGTGAGGATTGTGAGATGAGATCACTGTTAGATTGGTTGACCTTTTAGATCTTGCTCTCGCTTCTTGAAGATGATTCAGACAAGCAGATTGAAAATTTCTGAGTCCACTAAAACACGTTGATCTCCATTCTACCGCTCCAAAGCTATGCGCTCAAAATTGTTATGTGGTATATTAACTGCTGACAAGTTGCTTTTCAGCTTGTCTTTGTATCTTGTAGCCATATATATCCTACATTCCTGTAGCCCTGATCTAACTGGCTTGCATTATTTTATATATATATATATATATATATATATATATATATATATATATTTTATATATATATATATAGAATATATCTCTTATTATCCATTTCAATGTATATATATATATATATATATATATATTTTTTGAAATGGATAAATTTTGTATTTGTTTTTTGACCGGTTGATTTTTTAAGCTTTCACAGTTAAATTCTATTTCTTGCCCCTCCTTCACTGTATAGACACAAAATCTGTCCACACCAGGGTTGATAAGACTGAAAACCGGTATCTTCATCCGCTGGAATAGGCTCTTCCCCATATGAGGTCATTTTGGATTTTATTGTTTATTAAATATGGGTTTGTATTAGTAAATACACTGAGCTCTTTTTGTGGATCAGTTTTAATATTTTATATATTATATTATATACCAAAGGATTTGTTACCTTTACTATATACATACATATGTATATATATACACATACATCTATATATGCACATATATATATATATATATATACATACATACATATATATAAAATTTAATAATTTTTTGTTGTTCCAGGAATAAATATATATATATATATATATATATATATATATATATATATATATATATATATACACACACAATATTTTTATATATATATATATATATATATATATATATATATAGGATTAATACAACTATAAAATTTGTCATTTAGCTTTTTGATGTTATAACATTTATAAATTTAATTTCTTTGTTTTTATTTGTATTTTCGATTTTAAATGAAAAAAATTATATTAAAATGTTGATCAGAACAATCCCATGAAAAATAGATGAAGTAATTTTGTATTTTCATAATTTTTTCTATGTTTTTCTTTAAATAAAATCATTTTTAAAGTTGATAAATAGTTATTCATTGTTTTTCAGTTTTACTTAACTGTGTAAATGTATTTCTGAAATTATTTCTGTTATTATCAAGAGTTTGATATGCATGTTATACATGCAACTTATATTTGCAATATTTTTTTGACCAGTGGCATTCCTCTTCTTCATGGCCTCTGAAGGATCTTTGTTGGACATAAGTTTTTCCTAGATTCTGTTCATGGGGAGGAATGGGCCATTATCCTACCACACTGACCCCAATGCTTGTTGGTAGGGATGAATGTGACACTAGGCAGGTTGATTTTTCATTATGCTTAGAAAATCAACATTGAGATTGGTCTAGAAGCCGGGATCTGATGTAATAAGTCCTGACACCAAAGATTAGATTCATATCTTTTATCAATTTTTGAGAATTTAGATTTAAAGATCATCTGAAAAAATGTACAGAAATATCTACTTTTTGTAGGTTTTTGCTTACAAACTGACATCAAAATTTTATTATTATTTCAAGAATAAATCCAAATAATGTTGATATTTTTTGTATTAGATGCATTGAATGAAAAATATATTCAAACCAGAATTTTAATTATGAATCACCACAAGTAATATATGCAAATTTTTACTGTATTCAATAAGTGTAAAAATTGTACAATATTACAAAAATGGCTAATCAATGAATAAGATCTTACATCATTTGTTAGGCCATAATTAATAAAAAGAAAATGTAGATGAAAGTTTATATAACACCATAATACTGCTGGACAAAAATTATAAATTATAAGACAAAGTGTTTTAAATTTACATTGTTTATTTTATTTTTTAGAATTGGTGGTTACTAGTTCAACAATAAAAGAGTAAGTCCTAGATGCCAATCTAATAGCATTGCTTAAACTTACATAGATTGGGCACCAGGGACAAAAGCTCATCAGTTGCCATGAAAATATTTGTATAAAAAACAGAGGGAAGCCACATCATGTTGGTGAGAAAGTGACTGAAGTTGAGATGCCAAGTCAGGATCGATTACATTGCAAATCCTTCTTTGGATTTTGTCAAGAACCTTGAGATGAGTAGCAGAATCATCAGACCAGATATGTCAACAGTATTCTATGCATGGACAAATGGTAAATTTGTAAATGTGCAAGATGGACTCTGATGAGAAAAACCTTCTGGCATGACACAGTGACCCAACTTTCCTTGCAGTAGATGCAGCTATTGATTCAATCTAACCATTTCACTTCAAGTCAGATGGCCAAGAATGTGCAGTGTGTTGCTTTTCATGAGTCGAGAATCAGCCATGCTCATGGCAAGCAGGAAAGTTTCTCTTTGGTGGTTAAATGAGAGCAGTTTAGCATTGGCGGCATTAAAATTCACAAGCCATTTCCTGCCCCAGTTAACCACAGATTGGAGGTCCTTTTCAAAAGCAACTGCCAAGTTAATTTTGTCAGCTCTGATATATTTGCTATTGAGACAGGAGTAAATGTTAGTGTTATTTGCATAAATGCCTACTTGGGAACTTTGATGAAGATCAGAAACAGTGTAGGATCCAGGATAGAATTTTGGGGGACACATGTATTTGTGAGAAAGGATCTGGAAGCAAACGCATTCAAAATGACCTTCATTTCATGATTTGATAGGAATGATTAGATTAAATCAAACAATTATCCAGTAATACTATAGTCCTGGAGCTTACCTAAAAGAACATTGTACCAAACCTGTCAAACACCTTTGAGATATCTAGAGCCCACAGTTTGAGCTTCACTGTTATTATCAAGAGTTTGATATACATGTTCAATGATGGCCATTAGTATATCAGTGGTAGACCTGGCAGAACGGAAGCCATATTGTTTGTCAGAGAGTAGGTTGTGAAAAGTAATATGCTTAACCACTTCAGCATTGATTAAAGCCTTGAATACTTTGTCAAAAGTGGTAGGAGACTTATAGGGTGATAATTAGAGGGGTCAGAATGTTCTACAGAGTTCTTAAAAACAGGAACTACAAAGAGAGACTTTGAACAAGCTGGAAAGCAGGAAGAAGCAAAGGAAATAGTTGTAGAGTTTGGAGAGAACTGGGGCCATCTCTGGATCACAATTCTTTAGGATGATGGCTTAGATCCCATCACCTACATTTTCCTTATAGGAGTCTAATTTAGATATAATGTCCAAGACCAGTAACAGAGTTATGCACATATCACTCAGTAGAGCCTCTGTTCTAGGAGGGAAATCAGTGTTGAGTTTTGAATTGGAAGAGAATTTCCCAGCAAAGCATTCAACCTTATCTGCTGTAGATGTCAAAGGTGACTTTGAATTGATTGAATAGAGGAGGGATTGAGGGCTTGCTGTTGTTCAGCACACTCTAGCAGAGCTACTAATAATCTCTAGAATTGAACTTGTGAGATGCTATACGTTGTTTCATTCTCTCAGCAAACAGTAACTTCTTCTTTGAGGACACACTTGCACTTATTACAAGCAGAGGCAAAGTGATGTCTGTTGCAATCATACATGTCATTTTGGTACAGTTGGAAAAAGTGATTCCTGTGAGCTATAGCGAATGAGCATGCAGGTGAGAACCAAAGAGATGAATGCAGTTTAACTTGGTATATCCTTGTTAGATTTAAAGCATTGATGCCAGCTTTCACCCAGCAGGAGACCTCAGACATGCATTTATGAACAAGATGATTAAAAACTGCATTCCAAGGGATATCCATCACAAAGGAAGTCACAGGATAAGTCTCGATTCACTCATTGATAACAGAAAGATATTCTGTTGGTAGGAGGCTTTTGGCTGGTAGGAGAGTGGAAAGAGATGTTTACAGGTACTACCGCATGATCAGAGTTGCCAAGAAGGCCGAGCTGCATAGTATATTAATCTGGGATAGATGTAAAAAAGAGATCTAGAAGAGAAGCATATCTATTAGGGTTACTGGGAAAAGGTGTGGGGAAGTCCACCACTTGTGTGAGGGATTGGGAAGTTAAGGGTTTGGATGCCAGTGGAGTCAATGATAGATTGTTTAAACCATCTTGCATGGTGGTCATTAAAGTCACCAAGCACAAATATATTTTTAAATGGGTGTTGTCTCTATTGTCAG